TGAAAGACAAATGTAGTGTTGGTTATACCGGCAGTGTAGGTCAAAGTAGCCTTGATAAGTTGGAATGTTGAGTGTGTTGAAAGGAGTCACGATCTCTGGGATATCTTGAGCATTTTATAAAAACACCAGCTTCTGCAAAAAGGACTTTGCCGCGATGATTTACGGTACGTGAGTTTCTAAAATGAAACTCGTGTGGATATTCCAATGTCCTCCGTTCTGGGCTGAACCGCTTATCATTGCCGAACGCATTGTGTCATGGATGGAAGATGTCATGTATGACCAAGGCAGGGTTTGTGACACACCGCCAACTTGATACGGATCTACATGTACGGCGCGATGAGCTGGCAGTCGAGTATACTTTTAATGCATCTTATTGGTTCAACGGACGAGTCATGATTTCGGTCTTGTAGCGTTTGCTCTGGCTTGAAGATAGGCGCATGAAAGAGGTTAAAAATAACTCCATGGCTACAACAAGGCCGCAGCACCGAGACAAAACGCCCTCGTTTCACCAATCGACCATCCCTATTTGCCAACAATATAGGCTAATTGACTCTGTGACGCCCGCTACCCCGCACGCCGTAGTTTCAATTGATGTTTTTATACAGTCCAACCTTGACCCTTGAATTATTCTACATACATGACCTAGCAGGGGGGGTTCATAATTAATTAAAAAAGCTTAGTATCAAACCTTCTTTAATGCCTAATTTCTTAAAATATATAAGCTATAATTAGTGTATTACCCCCTGCTACCAGCTACCCTGTCAGGTCACGCATGAAGAATAATTCATAGCACTGAGGTTAGTCCGGAGTCAGGGGTGTTATCCCGGGATAGATGATTTGGAAACTGGGGGTTGCAGGGACAAGGCACTTCATATACAAGTCCCCTGTCAGAGATGAAGTATGTGAAACCAGCGGACGGACTGCGGTACCTAGATATATATATGTAATCATGCATGTTTCAATGGGGCTCTTGATGGCCAACTTGCTACGGGGGCACAGTCAGCTGCGAGGAGTTACAAAAGGGAACTCGCACATAAAAGAGAGTAATGAGATTTGGACATTATTCAAGCCACTTTACAGACCTACCTACTAGACAGGAGTTATCTGGCAAGTTGGATCGCCTATGCCCGTCTCTGTAATCAGTCGGCCATCATAGGGAGCCTGAATCGAAAAACAGTTGACGTCTGGTGCTACATAGAAGTCGCGTCAATAGCACTGCGGCACGGACCGAGCCTTGGCGATACTTGGCGATAATTGGACAAGGGCTCGAGGCGTAGTTGAGGCCGAAAGGCTGACCACCAGACTGCTTTGTATACAAGTTGACATGCTCACATTGACCGTTTCTGCTCTCTTCTTTCTGGCCACTTTGAATTCGCAGGTAGATAAGCAGGCAGCGGTCCAAACTTGCAGGTTTGGTTTGGAAACCGCCAGGATCGCCAGGGCCCTTGTGCTATTTTTACCTCAACATCCGTTGCCTTGCGGCTGGTGCAAGCTTTGTGATGCAAACCGCATCGTGTCTCGTCACGACTCGACGGTTTCAGCTAGACGGCAAGTCGAGGCCAGCCCACATAAAGCCTCGATGTAATTTGCTCGATCTGATCGAGATGCCACGCGATGTCAGCCCCACGTCAGACAAATGTCTGGGAATCTGAATTCTGAACAGATGAAGGCAGCTCGCCGGTGCACCTCCGACAGGGACATCTAAAAGGGCGACAAAAACACCAACATGGGCCGATGACGGGCGAAAACTTGCCTGTTGGCTGCTCCCTTTATCCATCTCATGTTTAGAAGAGAATAGTGGCAGAATTACCATTCCGACTTGTAACTTTCCTAAAAGAGGCGTTACGCAATTGGGAAGGTCGGGCCATCTAAAATTGTTCGCCTCGTATAGTTGATACCATCGGCACTGCGAGACCCGAGTAGTGCCTCCGGGGCCGGAACAGTATGGAGCTAACAATGCCGATATACCCGAGACACCAAAGAACATTCTAGGGAAATACACGTTTCCGTCCCAAGTTTGTTTTGCGCCATGGGAACGCTGGCCTTCCTTTTTCGTATTCCCACTGCGTGACTGCGTCCACGCAAGACACCACATGTCGTGGTGATGAAATCCCACTTTTGGAGACTCTAAGATGGGTAATACTAGATACAAGGTATTGCTGATTTCAACAATTTCGCAACAGACAGATCTGCGGGCATGAGAAGCTTATTGCACGGCGCATTGAAGCCCAAGTAGCAGAGTCGGCACGGCAAAGTCACAAGTGAAATATATATGCGTATTGTCTACATGCGTCTTCTCTGTAGTGTTGTCTGTAGCTTAATTATGACGCATGTTCTATGAAGCCGAAAAGCAAAAATAAGAGCGCAACAAAGACCACGGACATCAGCTCCCCAACGACTCGAGCACTTTGTTATGTATTACATTGTCATTCTCGTACGTAATTACACGACTATAGAACATTAGAAATGCTGTTGCCTTCTTTGACGACAACTTCCATGTCGGTCTTAGGGTTTAATTTCCGGGAGGCTAGTTCGGGTCCTTCTACATCTAGTCAATCATAAGAATCGCGGTGCGCTAACGGTTTGCCGATCACGGAAGGCTATTTCCATTTAGGCAAGTGCCTTGATTTGCTTTATCAAGGCGTACGCTGCCTGTCATGATGAGGTTCAGGTATAAAGTGAAAGGCAATTGCCCGTCACAACGAGTCTGGATACAATCGCTAGCCAGCCTACGATTACTTCCTGTCGACCCTGCCATATGCCAGTCCCTTGTAAAATCATCAACTCGTTCAAGATTTTCAACATGCGTCAGGCTCTCGCTCTTACACTCGCCGCCGTGACGGGCGTCTTTGCCGCACCGGCCGCCACTACCGGCCCAAGTGGCAAGACGTCCATCCACAACAAGCGAGCGGACTTTTATTGGGGAGGCGCGGTGCAAGAAGGTCCTCCGGGCACCGGCTGGAACTATGTTCAAGGCAGCGTAGTCGTCCCCAGCTTCGGCGGAGGAGACAACCAGCACTCGGCAAACATGTGGGTGGGAATCGACGGCGACGACTGCACGAGCGCCATCTTGCAGACCGGCCTCGTAGCCTACGGAGACGGCTCATTCTGGCTATGGACAGAATGGTGGAAGCACCCCATGCAAAGCTACGAGACCAGCCTTGCCTTCTCACCTAATGATACCCTGCGCTTTACCGTGCACGCCACGTCCACCACCTCGGGCACCACAACCGTTGAGAACCTGAGCAGCGGACACGCCGTCTCGCATACGTTTACAAGCGAGAGTGCTTACCCGCTCTGCGAGACGGATGCTGAATGGATCCTCGAGGACTGGCAGTACGGCGGTCAGCCGGTCGCCCTGGAGAACTGGGGCACGATTAAGATTTTCGACACTGTTGCTAAGAGTCCCGGCAAGCAAGTCACGGCTGCTGGTTCTGGTATTGTTAATATTAACATCAACGGCCAGACTCTTACTAGCAGTAGTGTTGACTCGGATGGAACCGTCAGCGTCACGTATATTGGTCCCAACTAAGACTGCAACGTTGGAAAAGTGGGAGAAGGTACAGGCAGCGTTTTTGAAAACATGACGACATGTTTCTGGATGTACTTGCAGCGAGCTCTAGAATTATGGTATTCTTTGTGCCCGAGGTTTGAATTTCACGCAAAGTTTAACTGGCGTTTTTGTCTCCTGGGAAACACCGACAGGAAACTTCTGAGCAAGTTCTTGCACGTGTACTGAGTTTGTCTTCTCCAAGAATCTCGCACTCCAAGAAAAGTAACTGTTACCAAAATATTGTTCATCTATAGAAGGATTTGCGAGAGCAGACAGGGGTCGTTTAGTAAGGAGGGGACTTGACTAGCCTTGCTCTTATGCCTGAAATATATTTAACCCTGTTAAGAAAAGGAAGGCCAAGCACCAATAAGAGAAAGTTTACTAGTTGAATTTATTCGTTGATTTGCAATTACATGTCAGCATCTAGCTTTAGCGGTACCAACGCCAGGCGGGGCGACGCAGGTAATCAGAGCATTCAATGTATTATTTTTTTAAATCGTTTTACTATACTATATCAAGTTATGAAAAATATAAAAGAGAGCTAGATGGCCATGCAAGGCCACTAGTAACATTGTACTTGAGCCGTCCAGGCTAGAGGACCCTAACATGCCGCAGATAGTATAACATCAATTGATAATATAAAATACAATAGAACATACATTTACACTTGCTATATTTGTTAATGCTCTGCAGTTACCAGAGACTGGAGAATAGATGCTAAATCAGTCAAGCCTATTACGAGCAAATCAAGCACTACTTGACCAAACCGTTTGTGACAAGGGTTCAATTATGAAGGCTTGGAGCAATAGGGCTCAATTCAATAATAATCTCGTAGGATGTCAAAGGTCCTAAGTTCCTACAAGGAAGAAAGAGAAGGGTAACTACCTTATATACATAAAAGGTGCCGCGGCGCGGCACCAATTGCGCTGAGACGGTCTACTTTTCTAGTCTCCAACTGTCCTTGGCCTGGTACAGCCCAATACTGTTTTGGATTTTACGCTTGCACGATACCTGTATCATGCGTGTAATTTCATTTGACTACAGAGCGAATCAACCAACAATTAATATACATAAAAGGAATGCCTAGGCCTAAGGTCCTTACCCGGGCATGTGTTCTAGCTGTGTAACTAACAAGTCCTGTATCGGCGAAGCCCCTTTGTTTGGCTTCACGATCTGTTGGGCCTTTTCCGTGTAACACCGTTGTCAAAGTCCCCTGCTACATTAGAGTGTAGTATCTAGGGCATCAAGGTTTAGACGAACTCGTGGCTAAGAGGTTATGCCGAAGCTTGATGGATTTGACCCCCACCACCAGCCCTAGTACAAATAGACCGGTCGTCTTCTGTTTGCATCTTCGTTGTCAACGCAACTGATTGTCCTATTGTTCACCAAGCACACCCTGTACTATTAATATATTCATCATCACGCATTACATTACTATTACCCCGCCATGGAATCTGACCTGTCTCTTACTGCTTCTGGTCCTTTACGACAAATCGGCTTTGGCAACTGCGGTTCGGTTTGGGGTACATTGAAGCGCAATGCCCACAACAATGCCGACGTCGACGTCGACGTCGCCATGATTATCAAACGCGAAGACGCAAGTCCAGGCAGGGACATCAAGAACGAGACCCTCGTTCAGTCGCAAGCATTCCGCGCAGCAAGCACCCTACAGTTGACCTCCATCCCCCAATGCTTTGGTCTCGTGAAGAGCGACGACAAAAGATGGCAGCAGCTCCTGCCACTCCTGCCCTCTGGACTGAAAGCATGCAGAGCCATGATTGCCGAGAAAATCAACCCGGTATCGAGACAGGCGCAGCTGCTCCTCATCAACAAGTACTGCCCAGCGTCGCACCGCGAGGCGCTCCGAAGATCGATAGAGGCACGGGACGGAGAGGGCGAGCATTGCCTGGTTCGCCTGTATCTCGGACGACGAAGACATGTATACGCGCGCAAGGAGCAGCATCGCCCCCGGCCGCAGTTCTTCAGCCTCCGCAATTACCCCCTTCACGCCGACCAGGCCCAAGACCTCGGGCTCCCTTGCAAGCAGTACGCCAGGGCCATGGCAGAGGCACTCGCGACGCTGCACTGGCAAGTCAGGACGAGTGGGAACGATGTCGAATTTGTGCTGGGTGCCCGCAGAGGCGGGGAGGGAGATGCAGACATGCCCCTTGAGGAGCATGCCGTCTGGATGCTTGACTTTGACTGCTCCAGGCCGATTGAGGCGAATGACTCTGGTCTGGAGTCGATTGCTCGGGCGTTTTGGCGCAACGATCCGTACTTTCCTCAGCCGGGCAGCGCCTTGGATCAGGGACGAGAACTGTGGGATATCTTTGCCGCCGAGTATCGACGAGTTGGGATGGAGGCGGCCCGGGCTTATCGTCGTGATGGAGAAGATGTGGAGAGTTTGTGTGCTTTGGTCGAGGGTGCGTTGGAGAGGATTGAGGAAACGAAAGGGAAGTGGACGGCTGGGGCGCATTTCTAGCCATGGTGGTTTTAACATTTGGCCTGGCAGGGTAGAGTTAGAAAGAAGAGTTGGGATACGGAGGGCCTGGGGCCGTATTTGCTCAAAAGAGGGCGACACTTCCTTTCAATTAGTATTTCAAAGGCATATTTCGAAATGGGCGCGGACAAAAGGATGTTTGGTATATACGCAGGTTATGTCTGGTAGAATATATTTCGTTCTGGGGATTACTCAAAGGCGCGTTACCTTGTATGCAGGGTCCACTCCAGATTATTAAAGAATAATAAGTACCCTGATCGAATCTTGAAGGTGTGTTGTTGTATAACTACTAGTATCACTTTATACTAGTGCTTCCCCAAGCAATTAAGTAGCATATAGAGCTCGTAGAGCTGGCATGCTTGTCTCTACTATTATTAGATAAAGTCTAACTTGTATTGTATTCTCTATTAAATAGGAGGACGACGAAAAGAGATGTGTAAAAAAAGGTGTGGTTAAACCGGCGACAAAGACGCAGCACCGAGATGAATACCATCTCCAAAGGATTTTCTAAAGCCAAGCTCCTAATACGTAACCATCCTCTTATTTAAGTTGTATAGCGGCCAACAACAGAGCCCTTAGGCCAACCAGGTCCATAAAATGTGCCGTGCTCTACAACGCGAGTACCGTCACCAAGGCGAAGAGCATACATAGTGTCGTTGGAGCACAAGCCGTACGCCTGAAGATTCTCGGGCGTTTTGGCAATATAGTGCATGTGTTCTGCGCAGGGCCATGTTAGCAGCGTTCCGATATCCGCGGGACCTTAACGGGAAACACAACATACCTTGGCAGTGGTAGCCCGCGTAGCAGCGCGGATGTTCAGGCCCGTCCCGGGACACCCACGACGCAGCACCGTAGTAGTAAATGTCCGACCCTCCGTTAATGTAGTTGCCCACGCCCGTGCGGCAACCCGGGTCGGAGACACGGCACCGCGAGTAATCGGGGTCTCCCCAGCCCCCGGGGTCGGACGTCCCCGGCCAAGGAAGCATCGGCTTTGCCGTGCCGCCCTGCTCGGGATTAGCCTCAGTCCTGGGCATGGACAGGACGACGTTGGAGGCCGATCGGAGGTTGAGCTGATACTGCCACCAGTGCTCGGAGCCCAGGCCGTGCAGCCAGGTGCCGTTGGTGGACTCGACCAGGACGCCGCCCTTTGCGGCAATGTCGACGCCGGCGAAGAAGTCCTCGGCGTTGCGGCTGGATACCCAGTTCCACACGTTTTCGGCGTAGACGGAGGATCCTCTGGCGAAGTGCATGCCCAGGTAGGCGGCCTGGCACGGGTGGGAGTCGTCGGCGCAACGCCGCACCATGTCCGGGGCGCCCCGGAGTCCCCCGACGTTGACGATGGAGTTCCATATCGCGACGTCGCCTGGCTTCTTGCCGTGCGCGTGGAACTGGAGGATGATGGCGCCTGGAGAGACGTCGGCAACGGTGAAGCGCATGTCCTGGATATGGATCGTGCCCACGTCGCCCACGTTGCCGACTTGCACGACGGGCTTGGGGTTTTCCGCATTCGAGAAACGCGGGCCTGCCCCGGATATGGACGGCCATGCCTCGCCGTGTATACGGGATCCAATTGGTATGACAAGCGTCGAGGAAATACGGTAGTCGCCAAAGGGGAAGTATACAATCTTGTGCTCTTTGACCGCGTGCTGGAGGACCTTGGTAAGGGCCCGAACGTCATCCGTCATGCCATCTCCCCGGACGGTATGCCCACCATTCTGCTTCGAGTCTTTGACGTTTATAAAATCCGACCAAGCGCTGAGTGCGTAATTCGGAGGCGGGTGTATAGGGATTCTGCCGCCGGGAGCAGCTATTCGTGACCGTGTGATGCTGTTGTCAGTTGTCACGCCGTAGATGTGGTTGCGACCTACCTTATTTCCATAGGAGAAGCTGTGGACATGGTCAACGGGACCAAGGACAGTACGGCCCTTGACCTGTACCGTGTTTTCGGGCTCGTATTCCGGGTCGCGTCTTTTCTCCAGGTTGTCGATGAGAAGGGAAGGCCGGGTCATGTCGTTTTTTGTTCGCCCCGAGAGGAATGTGAGGCCCGAGTTGATGGACGTGCCGTCGACGATGCCAACAAAGGCGCTGCCACTGGTGTGGTTGACACAGACGTCGACGTTTTCAAAAGTGGGAGCAAGCAGGGTGACAGCGCTGCCGTTGGAGACGCGCAAACCGACCGTGTTGCGGTAGAAACTGATATTTTTGAAAAGCGCACTCTGGTGGCCGTCGTGCCAGATTCCGGTCTATACGGACCACACATGTCAGCAAGGTTGGTTTCTATGGGCACATGGAATCAACTGACCAGGCCATTTTCGATTCGGACGTCGCCCAGGCTGAGAATGGAGCCTACACCAAGTCTGATGCCAGTGTGGCCGTCTTTGCGGTCGGTCGACTGTGGCATTACGATTTGGACGTTCTGAAGATGAGACCCTTGAGCGACTCCCCAGTAGAGCGCGGTGAGTTCCTTGGCTTCGCCCCATGTCAGCAGTTGTGTTTGTCTTTGGTAGGGTGTATTCTCTCACATCTATTTACGGCCGTTGTATCGAGAATGATATTCTTCAAGGCCACTGTATTCGCTAATTCGCCTGCGTTGGGCATGTAACTGGGAGCCATGCCTGTACAACAACCACGTTTGGTTAGCTACCTATTGCCCTCGTAGGAGTGTCATGATCGAAAAAAAGGGGTGTTTTAGTCACCGTTAAGAAGCACATCATGTGCAAAGTTGGGAGCCGCGCGGATGACGGGAGGATGACGGGCATCGCCCATGAGAATGGTATCCGTGTTCATGACCAGGGGATTTTCAAACGTGTAGATCCCAGGAGGAACATAGACCACCTGCAATATCAAACATCAGCGCTCGAGCACTTCCACAAACTGGTCCCTGGTTATCACGTACCCGTGGCATAGACGACACCCAGTAGCCATGACGTTCTTGGGCTGCATTGTAGTTCAACCCGGTGGCATAATCGATGGCCCCTTGGATGGTTTCTGATTTATTTGCTTTTGCGGATAGAAAGACTTGGTATTCTTCCGGGTGGTCTACATATGGCGCAAACCCGCTCGAAGGACCCCCATGGGCCATGACAGAGTACCAGTGAGCGGAACGAGAAGGCAACGTTGCGTTCAGGTATATCAAACCACCTGGATAGGCCCCCATCGTGAAGAGTGAGTTGGGGGTCAGTCATGTTTAGAATGATTGTAGAAGGGGGGGCTTCTTTTGACGAGAGATGAAAAAAGCGATTTGCGATTTGAGCTGCTAGTTGTCTCAAATTCTTCATTGTGCGCTCTTCGTGTGAGGAAGAAGCCAGATACAAAAAGACTAATATCAACTAAGATTCTGGTAAAGAGCCGATGTCTGGTTCGAATCGCCACATCACGGCGCTGTTCTGTCTTGGCTTAGCGTTATGCCGACGGTAGTATTGGTTCAAGTCATAGAGGCGTAAATTCCTGATATTTACAAAATTTTGCGACGCATTTATGTGTAATCTTTCTTTTCACAGTGCTCACCTAGGTACTTGAAAGCAATCGAATGAGAGTCTGTGTCCGAAAGGAGCTTGTTCCCGGCCCAGAAGATTTATGCCAGCATTACCCCCAGATGACGATTCAGCTCCTACGTAATGATGCAAATTTTAGTATTGACGCCGCACTGGCTTCTACGGGACTTTATTCGGTCGAGTTTTCGGGCCGACACGAGGAGACTACACATATTCTTCCTGTATTTGTACTAACCCCAGCTTTCAATATGGCCGCACCCTTCATTTTCACCAAAAAAAATCTCTGATACACTTGATATTTATAGTACTTGCATGGCGGGAAACTAGTTTCTGGTCAGTGAGGCGCTGGTGCGTCGCCCTATGCTAATGCTCTTCCGCCATGTCGGCAATAAACCGGGAATAATATTCCTTGAGTGGGGTTACAGTGAGTTTCTTACTCGCGGGCGACCACTTTTCGTTCGAGGTGCCATCTTGCCCCATTTAATTTATTAGTCCACCAGCCTTGTGTAGTTGCAACTTGACTTCCAATTGGCTCAGAGGGCCTTTAAATTGTTATTATCTCTTTGAAGCTCGAGCACCTTGTGGAGTGCCAAGCCCAGGGGTCAAAGGCCAATTAGACAGCTTCGGTTAAAGGGTACTTCTATTTACTAAGAAATTAGGTGATAATAGGTGTACTGGTAACCCTGTTAAGTACAAAGAGCTACTTATCACACCAATTTTATCTGCCTGATGAAAGCCTCAATTAGGGCCCGCCAGCTTATGGCCTTTGGTGTTGACTATCTTAGTGTTGGTGACGTTTTTTATGTGCCTATAAACCTTAGTTCCCCTAATAAATGACTTTATATGGTGTTTACTAGTAAAATTTTTCTCTTAAAGAACACGTACCGGCCATGTTCCTCGCTGTGTGTGGGGCAGCGGGGCCCCCACAAGGTGCTCGAGCTTCAAAGAGATTGGCTGGCTTGAGAATTTCGCGACCTGGGTGGATCATCGCGGCCGGCCCCTGACAAGGCCACTGTAAATAGGCATGGAGGCTCCCAGTGCCAGGAAATTCATCATCATTATCATCAGCAGCAGCAACGTCAAATTCAGCAGTAGTAGCAGCAGCTCAAGAGGTCTGGATTCAACAGCTTTATTTATACCTATGACAAAGGGCCATGTTGCCATCGGACCTAGCATGGGCTACATTGCATTGTTTTGGTCCAACCGCCATGCACAACTCGAGACTGTTCGCGAAAATAGCTTCACAAGTTCGCAACTCCAGCTTATTGGCCACTACCAAACGGTGACCAAATCCTGGACTGACATTCGAATATTACAGCAAGACATAAGCCTATAAGTATGGGAAGCAAAACGTTGGCAGTTGCCACCAGCTGCCACCAGCTAGGAAAACCCCGCTGGTGGTAGCCATGGTATAACTTCACTTTCAACTCACTTTGGATTTACAGACGATGGCGTGGGCACTTGCAAACGGATGAATCTGAGGGAGTGTGAATGGGCTACCTCACGTGTCTAGCAGCTCCAGCACAGTTCCCATCAAATTGCAAGTTTTTGCTGACTGCTTTTCTCCTCAACACACAAGAAAATCACCTTTCTCTACTCTTTTTCTTCTTCTGAAAATTTCCACCTAGCTTTCGTACCAAACTTTCGTTTCCATGCAAAACCAACTAAATCACTACAAGCTGAGCGTCTCTCGTGCTGAAAGTCTACCAGCACCTATCTAGCTGTAGATCGACATGGACAAACGGTATTTGGTTGACCGAATATTGAGCGGCTGTCACAACCCATACTAACATCTGGATTCTTGTAGTCAATCCTTTCAAAGGGCCGCAGACGAAAATAACCACCCTGGCACATGCTGGGAGTTTGAGCGAACTGGTACTTGCAAATTTGGCAAACGATGCCGCTATCAGCATCCAGCTACCTCCGCGAAGTTGGCCAAGGAGCCTCCAACTGAACTTACAGGCTTCTTTGACAATAATGGACTTGGAGTCTCTACACAGAGAATCGACGGCAAACTGCGCGAGTGGAAGCGTCTACTCGGCAATGGAGTTACAGCCTCACGCCCGCCGCCGGCAGTCGTGAGCCGATTCTTTAAACTCGGCCTGGAGCTCATGGAAGGGGACGTCGGTTCATCGCAAGAGGTTATTAAACGCCTCGCAAACGATCAAGGTCTTCCATTTGTAAAGGACGTTGTCGAACGTCATCTTGCTGTGGCTCTTCAGATGGACCCCAGCATGACATTCTGGAACACAGAAGTGAAGCCACTGTTCCAGTTGATCACTCACCCCCGAGTTATCCACTCGTCCGTTCTGGAGCAAGAGGTTATGACGATTTTCAACTTTATTCTTGGAGTTGGAGGGTCTCGCATGAACAGACTCTTTGGATACCTGGTGCTGCTCGTGACAAAGTGGCCCGACGCAACCGATATCATATCCAAGATGTCGGCGGTAGAACTTTCACTCGCAGTCTTGTCCAAAGTTCTCGATTGCAATACTATCAACATCGTCAACCAGAACTTCGCTACACTAGCCACCCAGTTTGCAGAAATCGTTGCCACAATCTCGGATGAGCAGGAAACCTTTGCCACTCTACAGTCTGTGAAGTACATCGATTATATCAGGCGACGGCTGCAAGTCGGCGACGACATTCCCGAAATGTCTGGTCCAACAAGGGACCCAGTTGTGAGAGAGGAATTCGTCTTGCGCAGAGACCTTCCAGGGACCTTGTCGGCAGAAGGGCCAAGACACGACAACGATTTTGCAGACATGTCGAAAATCAGCATTCTTCCAACCTGCGAAGAAATCATGTCGCCTCGAGCAGAATATCTCCCCACCAGCGACAGCTCTCAGTGGCACGTTGGAGGTATTCGCGGCCGTCTCGACAGAGAATTCCGCCTCCTGCGCGAGGATACAGTCGGCCAGCTCAGAGATACAGTGAGAGATGTACTTGAACACTTGAGAAGGCCCCAGGAGGCGCAGACCGCGATCAAGAACACTCTGAGAACATATACATACGAGAACCCCGTCCCGATGAAGGTCGATTTTCGCCGGAATGGTGGTCTCGAACTGCAGGTTCGTTGTAGCCAGTTGATGGCTGTCGCCAAACTCGCCAAGAAACAACGAGAAGAGTGGTGGCAACGCAGCCGTAGGCTCCAGGCTGGTGCACTTGTCTGTGTGATTTCTGCCTCCGGTCTAGTCCAATTCTTTGTTGTTTCTCAGTCGACATTGAGAAGCCAGAGTGAACCACGCTTTCAGCGACCAAAAGACAAAATGGCAAGCACTGATGGAGGAGACGAACAGCAAGTTTACACCCTATCAGACGACCCAGAATATTTATTTGTTACTCTGCAACTTGTCGAAGATGAAGTCGAAGATGTAAAGGAATTGCTTCAGTGGTATGATGTTAGCGACCAACACCAACACCGCTACCTTGTTGAGTTTCCCGGTGTTCTCCTCGACTCATTTAGGCATACACTCGCAGCCCTTCAACAGATGTATGAACATCAAGATATACCTTTCAGTCGAATATTTGCTCCTGCTTCAGATGCTGGGGCTGAAGTGGTCGTTGAGCCACCTGGCTATGCCAGGGAGCCCGGGTTCTATTATGATCTCAGCTGTCTCCAGGATGGCCTTTTCGTGTCTCCTACAAACTTGCCAGATCCGAGTGAACTAGCGGCGGTTTCAACTCTTGATGTAACACAATCAGCTGCGCTTTTGAACACCTTGTCTAGAGAAATTTCTCTCATTCAGGGTCCACCTGGGACTGGCAAGAGCTACACCGGAGAGAAGATCATCCAGGTGCTGCTGGGGAACAAGAAACGGGCCAAGCTAGGACCGATTTTATGTGTGTGCTACACAAACCATGCTTTGGATCAACTGCTTGAGCATCTTTTGGATGCCGGGGTAGAAGGCGTAATACGAATGGGTTCCCAGTCAAAGTCGGATAGAATGACAAATCTCAACCTGCAGAACGTCGTCAAGAGGTTTGAAAAAACAAAAGCAGAAGCCGCAAAGCTAGGTCAAGCCGAGGGCGGTATAAAGCAAGTTATTCAAGCAGTTGGTTGTGCTCTTCAAGAATTGGCGGACTGCGAAACCTGGGGCACCCTCAAAGCATTTCTCCTGGAGAACTATCCCCATCAATATGAAAGTATCTTCCCGTCAGAGGAAGATGGATGGATCAAAGTCACGCGTCACAAGCCGGAACAGAGATTTGAAAGATGGTTGTATACAGGAGACGATATCGACGCTGTGCCGAGAGACATTTCCACCCTGGAGCAGTCGGATTTGTGGGAGATGAATCAGCCTGAGAGGGTGGTGTTGTTTGAATACTGGATGAAAAGAATCAGAGATCCCATCACACTTTTGATTTCTGAGCTCCATGAGGAGTACTCGGGACACATCCAGGAGCGGTCCAAGGTCAGCAACGAGGTGAGCCTTCGCTGCCTTGGGCAGGCCAACGTCATAGGCCTTACAACGACAGGCCTAGCCAAGAATATAAAGCTCCTCCGCAGTTTAAGCAGCAAAGTTATGCTTTGCGAAGAAGCAGGCGAAGTACTGGAAGCTCACATATTGACAGCCCTGCTTCCGTCCTTGGAGCATGCAATCCTGATTGGTGACCATCTGCAGCTTCGGCCTCAAATCAACAACTATGAGCTGCAAAGCACTAATCCGTGCGGTGTCCAGTACTCTTTGGACATGTCACTATTTGAGAGACTAGTCATACCGCCGCATGCTACGGATCCTCGTTTCCCATTCAGCTCTTTGGAGACACAGCGCCGGATGCACCCATCGATCTCGGCGCTCATCAGGCCGACGCTGTATCCGGATCTCAACGACTCCGAGGGCGTCCACATGTATCCCCAGGTGGTTGGCGTGAAGAAAAGGCTATTCTGGATGCATCATGAACAACTCGAAGCCGGGGCCTCAGCGCAAGATCCCTTGAATACATCTCACTCCAACGACTTTGAAGTGGAGATGACAACGGCGCTTGTATCTCATCTTGTCCGACAGGGCGAGTACCAGCAGGGGCAGATAGCGGTGTTGACTCCTTACCTCGGCCAGCTTCACAGGCTTCGTCATCGTATGGCTTCGATATTTGAGATTTCTCTCAATGAAAGGGACCGGGATGAGCTGGCGGCCTTGGAGATTGACGGGGACCTTTCTTCAACGTCGAGTCCACAAAATGCGAGCAAAAGCTCTCTCCTCAAAACCATCAGAATCGCCACTGTTGACAACTTCCAGGGAGAGGAAGCCGAAGTCATTGTCATTTCGCTCGTCAGGAGCAACACTCAAAACAGATGTGGGTTTCTCAGCACACCCAACAGAATCAACGTGCTCTTGTCTCGCGCAAAACATGGAATGTACATCATCGGCAACTCAAACACGTACAGAAATGTGCCCATGTGGAATGACGTGATCCAAATTATGGACGCACAAGGAAACATTGGCACAAGCATCCCACTTCAGTGTCCGCGCCATCCAGATAGACCGATCCTGGTAAGCCAGCCAGATGACTTCCTTCTGTATGCGCCAGAGAGCGGATGCAATCTTGCTTGTCGAATGAGACTTAAATGCGGCCATCCCTGCCTGGGGCGGTGCCATTCCGAAATCCTTCACAATGCTGTCAAGTGTCGGGAGCCATGTCCGCGCTCAATGAAGGGTTGCGACCACCAATGTCCTCAGCGGTGCGGCGACCTCTGCCCCCAAATGTGCTCGTTTCTCGTGAAAGACGTCAATATCAACCTACCATGTGGGCATGAAGTCAAGGACGCGCGATGTTGGAAGGTGCAGGACCCTACGACGATCAAGTGTGAAGTGCGGGTTACCAAAACCGTCCCTGGGTGTGAGCATGAAGTGGTGGTTGCGTGTTGGCAAGACGTGAACCGAGAGAATTACGTTTGCGATGCTTCTTGTGGCGGGCATCTTCCATGTGGACATGATTGCAAACAACCTTGCTTCGACTGCAACGTTCGAACAAACAAAATTGTCATTCGCACCATGCACAAGCCCTGTAAGCAGATATGCGGCCGGGGCTTCTCGACATGTCGACATAACTGCGGTCAGAAGTGCCATGAAGGGCAACAATGCCCTCCCTGCGAGGAGCCCTGCGAGGTGCGTTGCGGCCATTCGCAATGCAGCCGATTGTGCCATGAGCCCTGCGTGCCATGCGCAGAAGGAAAATGCCAGTCTTTCTGTCCACACGCCGAGTGCTCCATGCCATGCGCTGTACCCTGTGATTGGGTGCCATGTTCAAGACGATGTAAAAAGATGCTTGGATGCGGACATCGATGTAAGTTGAGCTCCCTGATGGTGTTGTATAACAGTCTGTGGATCAGGCCTTGTATTGTCACGTTCCATGCTAATAGAGAATCTCCCATTAGGCCCATCGCTCTGCGGCGAACAGTGTCCAGACATCAAGTTTTGTCAATCTTGTGCCCCTGAAGACATCAAGTCTGTCTGCGTGGACTTTCTCGAGATGAAGGAATACCAAGACATTGACCTCGACCAAGATCCATGCATTTTCCCCGACTGCGGCCATTTCCTGACTGTGGCCTCCATGGATGGTCAAATGGATATGGTGTCGCATTATGACACGGATGAAAATAGCATGCCGGCTAATATCTTAAAAAAGTCTGAACCATTCTCGATGGACGGCTCCGGGGTGCGTGTTTGCGCAACGTGCAGAGGGTCGCTCCGAAACATTGCAAGATACGGCCGAATCGTCCGCCGCGCGATTCTCGACGAGGCCACAAAGAAGTTTATTTCCTGGTCGCACAAGCAATACGGGCTACTTTCCTCGAGGTACTTGGAGGAGCAAGAAGCCCTTGGCGACGCTGAGGTCTTGGGGGCCGCCACAGCCCGCGCGGAGCTCCAACGCTCCAAGTCGTCAGCTTTACGATTTTTGTATCTGGATTGTCTGGAAGAACACGTCCTGAGCGAGCGGTACGGCGACTTGCTCGCAACATGGGTGGATATTCGCCTTTTCGCCAACGATGTCAAGGTAGATGAGCAGCCCTTCCAACGAGTCGCCGACCTGGTCCGCCACGCCAACCGCCAGCACAAAACAAACAAGGAATTCAGGTTCGACGAAACCGTCATTCAAATGAAGGGCTACATTCTCGCTCGCACGCTGCTCCTCAAGTGCGAGATGACAATCTTGAACGATTTCTTCGCCCGGTGCGACGGCAGGGCTCGGCTGCCCGTGAAATTTGTCATCAACTTTACGCAGCAGTTTCGGGATTGCGAGGAGGTAATCCAGCTCGCGAACGAATCGGTGCACCCCAAAGAAGAGGTCCAGGCGCTCATATTCGAGGCCCAGCTTTGCGCGCTGTCATGCAAGGTCGATGCTTGCTCGGTGCCGCCGGGATTCAAAGGCGGCGCTGCGCCCGACAAGGATACCGTACAGGCGTATGGGTTTGCGCTCCTAGAGAGAGCCAGGGAGATGGCTCAGATGTACCCGTCTACAATGATATTCGCAGGCGAGATTGACGCTGTCGAGAGCTCTCTCGATGGGTCGTACCAAACACTTAGCAAAGAGGAGATGCGTAATATTGTCGAGGCCATGGCTGGGGATATAGGAACCGGGGGGCGATGGTATTATTGTGAGAACGGCCATCCGTTTACGATTGGAGAATGCGGGAGGCCCATGGAAGAAGCGCGATGCTCCGAGTGCGGTGCTCGAATCGGCGGTCGGAACCACACGCTGGTGCATGGAGTGGGCGAGGCCACTGAGCTCAATCAGATCACGCGTGGAATGGGGAGGATAGTGCTGTAGATTGCAGTTGGTAGCTTTGTGTGTTTTGGAATGTGGTGGTGCCCGGCGAGGTTGCAGGCTTGAGATGGTGGTTGATGTCGGAGAGGAAAGCTGCGAGGGCTCACTCGACTGTTGGCGTTGGTTATGCAAAAAGGAACTTGTCTCATGTAGGTATTGCCGAAATACGTATGCAGTGTACTGTAGAATCTGTAAATGCACAAATCGCCATTGCAACCACCTTGTTCCGAAGCCCGCAGGACAAATCACCGGCCACACGACACGACACGACACGTGAAGCAACAAGGACCAAATACCGTCTCATTGCAAGTACTTCCTCAAAACCTGCAACAACTCACTCCAACCATGCATCGACTGCCCTCTTCAGCTCGCCCTTCAGCCACCCGTCATACCGCAAGGCGACATCAAATCCATGCTCGCCATCCGTCTCTGTCAAACGCACTTCATCACCAACGACCTCTCTCGCACGCTTCACAAACCGCCTCACCGACTCCACGGGCACGACGCTGTCGTCCCTCCCCTGCAGTATCGTGACGCCCCCCACCGGAAGCCTCACGCTCTCGGCCTCCAGCGCCTCGGGCGGGAAATACACCCTCCTCTCGGCGGGCGCCGCGTCCTCCAGCCCGCGCGCGTACAAGCCGCCCAGCCGGCCGTGCTGCGTGGCCGCCAGCATAAAGTCCAATCTCGCAGCGGACGTCACCGAGCTCTCTGCCGGCCCGCCCTCCGCCGCGGCAAGCGCGTCGTCGTACACCGACTCCGGGACGCTCTTCCCCAGCGGCGGATTCTCACGGGGCCGTGTGAACTCTGGCGCGCCCGGGTCGACGAGGGGGTACGTGGCGACGGCGACCCTCATGTCGCGCGGGTACGTGAGCGCGGTGCTTAGGCAGAGGAGGCCGCCGGCCGAGTCGCCGGTCACGAGGACGCGGGCGAGGTCGGCCTCGACGGGGGGCGACTGCGAGGCGAGCAGCGAGGCGAGCGAGGGCGAGTGGATGTAGGCCCAGAAGTCGGCTACGTCTTGGAAGATCTGGGGCGTCGTGGCTTCCGGGAGGAGGCGGTAGTTGGGGGAGATGATGATGGCGCCGTGGGCGAGGGCGAGGTCCGTCAGCCACTGGGGGTAGAAGGGCAGGTAGAGCGAGTCGCCCATGACCTGGGGCCGGTTAGTATTTTGTTTGGTGTTGGAAGGGTGAGAGGGAGAGAGGGAAGCGCTTACGAGGCCGCCGCCGTGGAAGCGCACGATGACGGGCCGTTTGCCGGACAGTGGTGTTTCGGGGACGAGGACGTCGGTGCGGATTTCGTGGTGGGCAATCGTTTTGTAGGGCGTTTGGAGGACCTTGAGGCCCTGGAGTTTGGAGGCCATTGTGAATGTGTGTGAGGGTGTCGAGGCTCGGGTTTAGATGGGCGATGTGGTGAAGTTGTGTTCGTGACACGAATGACTTTGGGCTTTTATTTATAAAGGTTCTTGAGCTAGGATGCTTGTGAGTGTTTCTGTAGGCTATTATCCCGCGGCGTCGGCAGATGTATACGGTAGTCGCAGATGGGTCAGCGATTATTAAACCAGACTCTATGCATGTCGTCATTAGTAATTGGCAATGATTCCACACAGTTGTCAACTTGCCAGTCACTGCGGAATTGATGGAGACGCCGAGGTGCGAGCCCCGCCAGCGGGCTATTCGTCCATGTCTAGATGCATCGCTGGCTGCTGATGCTTTGATTCGCGAATTAAAGTTGTATTGGGGTGTCTGTGAATGGTTAAAATGATGTATGTAGCCTACGCGCCAACGACAAACTTGGGATTTGCACCTTGCAGAGGACAGACGGACGGGAATAAGACGGATATAAAGTAAAGTTGTATCAAAAGAGTGTCTGGTATGTAAATTTGCTTGTTGAAAGCAAAAACAGAAGATGCCAATACCAAATCAAGAGCTCGCAGCACTTGTGTGCGGCCTCCACTTCTGGTAGAGTTGTTGAAACTATTCTCAACCTCCATGTATCCAATACTTCCTCCTCCAACCTTAATGTTCGCATTTCAAGTGTCGCAATATCCGCCGCTCCATGTGGCATGCCCCCGATTCCTGCCGCGACAGGTCCCCGGTCGAATATCCCCTACTATCCGGCTTCCATGTTCCATGATCCATGTGCGCCCGTTGAGCCCCTGATGACTGACTCCCCCAAAACGACAAAATCCATCAAACCAGCAGCGTCAGGGCTCAAGGGTCAAGGCTCAGCAGCAACAACACCGCGGTGCCGTGCTGCCTAGCGCCAAAGGTCCAACAAGCTTACCATGCCTTCGCATTCCTCAGGCACGCCCGCCCATGCGTGGCGGTTGGCATAGATGACCTTTTGCATCTCCTCGTCCATGTTCTCTACAGGGTTTTGCTGACGCCAATCGCAATCTGTTGGGAGACACAAGTGCCTCCAAACGTTCCTCCAAGTCGAATCCTGAAACCGCGCCAAAGTCCGTATCTCATTCTTCAAGCCGGCAATGCGTTGGGCAAGGGGAACTTGGTGGACAATGGCCCTCACTTCGGTCTCGCTCATCTGCTGACGACGTGGGTGGTTGTGGCTGTCCCAAAGATAACGAGGGCGGGATAACTGGCGCAATGCTGCAAACCTTCTTGGGTTTCTCTCAAGCTGTCGGATTTCCGAAAGTACTCGAAGTTTGCACGAGACAAGCGGAACGCGGAAGAAACCTAGACGTGACTCGTCTGCACGGATAAGTCCGTCGACGGTTTCAAGGAAAGAGAACCTTATTTGGGCTCCCGTGCCATGTAAGAACGGGAACGGCCCAAGATCGCGCTCCTGCCGGTCGGTGAGAACCCTGGAGTTGAGGAAGTTCAGTGCATAGTCGAAAGCGTACCGGTTTCGGCCTTGGCATATGTACAGTGCTGGAAGCGCGAGCTTAGCAGCGGTGAAGTTCCAACAACCAGAAGTTGGCTGGTAGTCGAAGAGCTCGACCATGTCATTTATCGTCTCCATTGGCAATTGTTCTGGATAGGCTGCCTTAAACATCAAGTGGACCAATTCATGCCTTTTTTCGGCGAGCAGTAGACAGAGGCCGCCGCGTGTCTGAATGGGCCGCCGTTCCTCATCTCTCAGCGCCAGGTACTCAGCTCTTCGCTGCTGGATTAGTCCGCAAAAAGTCCAGTGTCGTGCCTTTCTGTCCTCAGTATTTGGGCCGCACGATTGGCAGAATATAAAAGTCTTGCAGTAGTTACAGCAAGCGATGTCGCCTCGACAGGCCGAACAATAAGTGTTTTCAGGTTCTTCCATGGTGAGGTGTGGTCTGGTATGTTGCGACCGGTCGCTGCAAGTAGGCTCGTCGATGATGGGTTTTGTGAAGGTGGGAGTGTGTCTTTGTCAAAAAGTGTCGATACCATGAAGTGTAGCAAGGCAAGTGTGCGGCGTATCCCAACGCGAGGGGAGCCGTGCTTAAATAGGTATTCTGAGAGCTCCAACCCATTGCAAACGAGTCGCCAACACGTCCGAAAACAAGGTGTGAATATGTCTCTATCAACATGTAAAATGACAAACAAGCGTGGGCCGGCCATTGCGGATTGAGGGTGCACAAATGGCGGTTGTTCTCTTCGTGTTGGACACACATGTGGTTGGAACCCCAAACACACAAGCAAGCCCGCTGCATGATGACGTAGGAATAAAGAGGCTCACAAGGGTTTCAATGAATGTTTCAGCCATTCAACATTACATGTACACCTATCCAACTTCAAATCTGCATCGGATGACGGGTGCGCTGCCTGCCTTGTGAAAGCAAGAGAAGACATCAGCACTCACAAAGCCACCAGGTCCCCGTGCATTCGTCGGGGCAGCAGAGAAGCGCACACGTGCAGGACGGAGCCTTTGATGCCTGGCATTTTTTGAAACACGCAAGTACCGGGCTGCTGACCCTGCATGGCAGATTTCTGCCGGCACTGAGGGAACTCGGAGCGAACATGTTGGCGTGATTCACGGCTGCTCAACAGCCTGACATGTGCAGTCTGGTGGGCCGCTTTCACCGGGCACGCATTGCATGAGAGACTGCGGATGGCGCATTTATTAAACGGGCCGAAATTTGACGCGGATTTGATCGCGTCCAAATGTCCAGCCAGGCATCTTGGTAACGGGGGAAGTGGCCTCGGTCGTGGAATTTGATGACATCTGGAGCGAGTTGTGCGACTTGCCTAATTGAGTCATCTTCGTATGAGCCCAGCCAATCAATGTATTGCCACTTGCGAATAGCACCAGACCGCTTTTGGGCAAGGAGCAAAGTAGAACCAAGAGATCATGGTCTCGGTATTCGGTTTACAGCGGCGGATGTGGCCGTAGACTGGTGCCTGTGCATGAATCTATATTGACGTGTCAATATACTTTTGACTTGTTTTTTAGCTCATGCTTTCCGTTGTGCCACGGTGGGAAAAGACTGGAGCTTATTCCCACGATGCCGAGCCTAGCAGGTTCATGCAAGTACAAGGTTTGGCTTTTAAGCGTCAACGTGTGCACTCCCCAAAGCATGCTTACATTACGGTTCTGTCTGGATTGATGTATTTGCAATGCACAACTGCCTGCTCATTTTTGAAAGCATTACATGGCCTCATTCACCACAGCCACCATGATTTAGCTTGAGCGTATACCGGACACTGCTGAAATCGGCTTATATTGGTGACTTTTTTTGCGTTTTCCCACCCGTCTCAAATTTATGGCTGCGGTAGCGCGGCATGGCTGCGCATCAGTAGAGTCCGTCTTGCGGTAAGTTTGGCTACTACATGCGAGTCAAGATAATTCTACGAGTGACTGACACCAACTTTATCAGCCTAAAATCCTTCAGACACGATATATAATCAAGTCTACGCTTATTGGCAACTGACTAATTTTTTTCTTTCGTTTTCTTTTTTTTTCTTTTTTTTTTAAGAAATCAGAACCTTTCTGCCCTCCTTCTTTAAATAATACGAACCCTTTTACACATACTAACCCATCTGCCCCAAACACTGCCGTGACTGCACATTGTCTCGAGCCTCGCACCCCGTTGCTGGACTGCCGAATCCGCAACGTCGTTTCCTTGCCTATACACAAGCAGCTGCCTTTGACTGGTAGTTGGACGCCAACATCACACATCACGGCATGCGGTTTCCAGCAGCCGGGGCTCTCGCCCTTCTCAGCCTTGGATTATCGGCAGCGGCAGTCCCCTCCAAGCCGGCGTCGACAATCTCGCCAACCTCGCCAACCTCGCCAACCTCTCCCAAGACTGACCCCTTCTACGCCGTCCCCGAAAACATCGAGCATCTACCGCCGGGCACCCTCCTGCGATACCGAAAACTCCCCTTGACCGACTCACCATTTGGCCTCACCGACGTCAACTTCAACATCAGCCACCAGATCCTCTACAGGACGACCGACAGTCACGGCCGCGCCACGGCCACGGTCCTGACCGCGCTGATCGCCTCGCCCGGGAACAACAGCAAAGTCCTCTCCTTCCAGCCCGCGCAGAACGCGCCGGCGCTGCAGTGCGCGCCCTCGCACACCTTTGACAAACACCCCCCGAGCCCCAAGAAGCCCGAGAGCACCATCACACGGCCCGAGCTCCTCTCCATCCAGTCGGCGCTGCACCAGGGCTGGATCATCCTCATCCCCGACTACCAGGGCCCCAAGGCGGCCTACATGGCCGGCAAGCTCGCCGGACACGCCGTGCTCGACGGCATCCGCGTCGCCGTCCACACGCCCTCACTGACCCGAATCCGCAACGACCCGAAAATCGCCATGTGGGGATACTCCTCGGGCGCCGCGGCCACCGCATGGGCCGCCGAGCTCCATCAGACGTACGCGCCGGAGCTCGAGATTGTCGGTGCGGCCGTCGGCGGCGTCCCGGCCGACATGGCCGCCGTCGTCGACAAGATCAACGGCCGCAAGCACGCGGGCCTCATTGCCGCCGGCGCCGTCGGCCTGGCCAACGAGTACCCCGACCTCGCGGCCACCATCTACCCGCGCATCCGGAACAAGTACCAGCCGCTGTTCAACAAGATCAAGACGCGGTGCGGCGACGACAGCACCAAGGCCTTCAACAACAAGAACGTCATCACCATGTTCAACACCACCGAGGTGCGCAGCCTCCCGGCCGTTGTGGACGTCATGAACCAGACGTCGCTGGGTAAGATGGCACCCAGGATCCCCATCTACCTGTACCACTCGTTCCACGATCAGATTTCCCCCGTTGGCACGGTCAACAAGCTGTATGATTTTTACTGCGCGAATGGTGCGTCGGTGCTGTACAAGCGCGACTTCTTTTCGACGCATGGCTCGGCGGGTGTCACGGGCTTGCCGAGGGCTTTGGTCTTTTTGATTGACATGATGGATGGCAAGACGCTGAGTGCTTGCTCGCAGGCTACCATCATTTCGGGGCTGCTGGAGTCGCCTACCTGGGGGAGGATACCTGAGGGGTTGATCAACGCGTTGCTGTTTTTGCTCCGTAGGACAGCGTAGGATGGGATTCGTGCTCTGGTTTATAATATTGACCATAGACCGTGTGCACTTTGGTATCGGTGTGGTTTGTCTGCATATGAAAATTTGGGGAGATGCTGAGGAATCATCTGTAGGTCTACTTGAAGGAGGCCTTGTGCCTGCTGGGTATTGACCTAGTTTCGCTCATTTTAGACCCCGACGGTATTTTCACTTGTGTTTTAGCCATCTATTTAATAGTAATAGGTCCCGTGTACGCCTTGTGCCGTGGATGAAATTTGAAACTCGCCGTGCAGTTATTCGTCGGGAATGAGCTTTCTGTGGTGACTTGACGGGGTCGTCGTACAGTAAGAAGTGTCGGTAGGCTGTGTTGCTTTTGGGCCAACAAACATCATTGATGCTTATTAAAGACACTCGAGATATCGGCAGATAGCCATCGTGTGTGTTTTCCGCTCTGTTCCATCAATGGCACGACGACGTCAACAGCAGGCTTTCAAGTTGGTACTATTTGCCGTCCTCGCGCAGAACTTGGCAAGCTGTCTAATGGTCCAGGCACGCATGTCCCGATAAAGAAAGTCGTGCAGTCCAACGCAGCAAAGCCAATCAATGCATCTCTTGAAACCCCACGTTGGCGATGTAGGATGCAACCCGAGTCCACGTTTGAATCTCGGCCGGGCCATGGGGAGTTGGCTGTCCAATCATGCATCTACTTGTTCCTCGAACCGTGAATCCATCCGTTGTCTCGCGGATGAGGGGTTCCAAGCCATGGCGACAACCTTTGATTCACGAACCAGCCGCATCAACCTGTTGCCCAGACATATCCTCGTTCACAATCTCTTCAAGTCCATGTTAATCCGAGGCAGTCCAAGGTCTTGGCATCACGAATACAATGGCGTCGTCGACTACACCCCCCACGCCCTTCTCCGTCACAGGCAAGACGGCCATCATTACCGGCGCAGGATCTGGTTTGCAGCGCCGCTGGCACTTTATCTCAACAACATGGCCATTTGCTAAGAATCAGCAGGCATCAACCACGCGTTTGCCGAGCTCCTCCTATCCCGAGGCTGCAACGTGGTCCTTGCCGACCTCGCCCTCCGCCCGGAAGCCCAGCAGCTCGTCTCCCAGCACGGCGACAAGGCAAAGAGGCCCCGGGCCGTATTCGCCAAGACAGACGTGACGTCCTGGCCAGACCTCAACCGCATGTTCGAAGTGGCGGCCGCGGAATTCGGAGGCTTCGACATCGTCTGCCCCGGAGCCGGTGTCTACGAGCCGCACTGGTCCAACTTCTGGCACCCGCCAGGATCTCCCGAGAGCAGGGATGCCGTCGACGCCGGCCGCTACGCCCTCCTGGACATTAACCTGACGCATCCCATCCGGACGACCCAGCTCGCCCTGCAGTACTGGATCCATCCTCCAGCCGGTGGCCCCCGCTCCGCGCCGGCGCCGGCACCAGCGTCCGTCGACAACCCGAAGCGAGTCGTGCTCATCTCCTCGGTCGCCGCGCAGATACCGACCTTTCGAGCTCCGCTGTACGGCGCGTCGAAGCACGCGATTACCGGATTCACGCGGTGTCTGGCCGACCTCGAGCCAAGGCTGGGCGTTCGCGTCACCGCCGTGGCTCCGGGCCTCGTCAAGACGCCCATCTGGACGGAACACCCGGAGAAGCTGGTCAATCTTGACCCGGAAAAGGACGGCTGGATCGCCCCGGAGCAAGTGGCCCGTGTCATGGTGGAGTCGATGGAAAAGGAGACAATCGCGGGCGGAACCGTGCTGGAGATTGGGAGGAACAAGACGCGGCGGATCCAAGTGTACAACGATGCTGGGCCGGATTTTAGCGCTGGCGGGGGGATAGCCGCCAGCAGGTCGGACGAGGGCGACAATATGGTCTGGGAGTGGCTTGGAGATGAGAGAATTTGGGCTGTTCACGATTGGGGCAACGAGTAGCTATCGGACCTGGGGCGTATCGTGTGATAGTGGTAAAGTAGGAACAGTGGTGCTTTGAGATGCGTATATTGACAAAAACGTACTATTCGCAGTGTCTACAGATTTGACCCTATTGCTATTTGGCTTGTGTTACTTGTACATAGGTTTGAAAATGTGACACAGGCCCTTGTGCCTGATAATGGCTGGGATTTGGTCTTGCCAAATTTTAACAGAGTGTTGTGTGGGCACCTTTTCTGGGCTTATAACTAGTTGCGCCTCTTTCATTATGTGATAGTCGAGACTGGAGATTCTGCCCATGGTACTTGTTGACGAATTCAGCCGACTCGATGGACGGGGGAGTAGTCTCGAAGCACAATATTGGTGTGTTATTATAAACAGCACTCATGTTATCAACGCTTAGCCTGGGCTGGCGACTATTTTCAAAATGAATTCCACATCTCAAGTTCTCGGGTTCAAAGTCCCTCGCAGGATCTGCTGTGCTTCCACGTGGCTCTGCCCAAACCATGCTCAACGCGTCCTGGAAAATGTGACAAGGGCCTAGCTTGGAGCAATTACTCAATTCAACTAATACTTTGCTTTGATATCAAAGGTCCTTGGTTTTCCTTGAAGCCCTGAGGGCGGAAGACCTTTATTTATATCAAGAGGCGGTGAGGGACCTTGTCCTAGGTCTCGTGATCAGAGCCTTTGTGTAACTATCGTCGGGTTCAAGGTCCGGCCCGTGCTGTGACAAGGGTTCGATTATGAAGGCTTGGAGCAATAGGGCTCAATTCAATAATAATCTCGTAGGATGTCAAAGGTCCTGAGTTGCTATAGGAAAGGAAGAGAAGGGAGACCGCCTTATATACATGAAAGGAACGCCCGGGCCTAGGGTCCTTGCCCGGGCACGTGTTCTAGCTGTGTAACCAACAAGTCCTGTATCGGCGTGAAGCCCCTTTGTTGGGCTTCACGATCTGTTGGGCCTTTTCCGTGTAACACGTGCCTTCATGGCAACGTGTCATCCGCGTAATAGAAAACGTCTACCCTCGCAGAAACATGATACACCATGGAGTAATTTATCTTTATAGACTGGTAAAGTATTCGATAAGTGAATTTTGCGAATATACACCCTGAGGCCTTGATTTACCGTCTGCCCGTGATGTGGCCATCGTTGAGCTCCTCAAGAAAACTCATATAAATGGGACTTTGGTCAGATCGGCTTACGAGTTGCGTCTGATAATTGGCCCGTGTACTCATGGATGGGGGGCATCGCCCTGTATCTTATTCATAATCGGTCCTTTCCACACGATAAAAAACCAAAAATCGGACATGGTCGGCCGGTATCTTACTGTTGCATCCCCCCTTATACTGTGCATAGTTCTCTACTATTCTTTTTTAGCAGGACATTTGCGTCCTAGAGCCCCAATATTTTGCCAGAGGTTTCGATTTTATAGTGGAATGCCACATGAGAGGCCTGCTATTGGCAGGCTGGTATGATATATCTTGCCGAGTAGGTTAAAGAATCTCAACGCCTAGACCCATCGCTGCCTGCCTACAAAGAGGCTAGAGAACAATGCTTTGACTGTTGCAGTTTGATTCTCAAGGCACAACTCGCCTCTTCTGTCCTTGGGAAACGAGACATTTCTCGTTTCAAGACTCAAAACTCACTTTCTAGGTTTAGGAATGGCCATTATGTGGACCGTATCTTGCAAGATCTGGTACATCAATCAAAACATTCTGGTATACTAAACTAAAAAACAATAGTACATTAACTTCATCAGAGGCAATCTCCAAAAACATGGAATCCTTGCTCATACTTCTTCCCCTAGATCACCCGCTTACTGTCCACATTCGGATCGAGCTTATTCATAAAATCCGTTCGATGAGGCCCCGCGGTATTAGGCGCAGGTCCAGGCTGTGTGCCGCCGACATGGACTGCCCTTGGGACTTGTCCCTGAGCGGCAGCAGCACCTCTGAGGTTGGGGTCAAGAGTATTTCCAAGCTGCGTTTGCTGTGCTCCGTACATGTCGCCCTGCGTGTTTGCGACAGGAACGCCGCCTTGCCGGTGATGGGTGTAGGCCGCGCCGCCGCTGTCCAAGTCCGAGTCAACGCGAGGATCAAGAGTATTTGCCAGCCGTGAGGAGTGAGGCCCATACGTGCCCTCTGGCACATTCTGCATGGGCGCCGTGGCCGAAACGCCAGGCGGAGGGGCCGTGTACGCCGTGTTTCCCGATGCCAGGGGCGCGTTATAGCCCGGAGCGGCGGTATTCGTCATGCCTTGTCCATGGGAGGGCGCGTATGTCCCTCGCGATGCCCCTATTCCGGGCCCGAGAACTTGTGCCCCTCCAGAACGGCTGTCGACGGTTGGGTCGAGTTTGTTGAGGATATCGTGTCGATGCGGCCCGGCTGTATGGGGTGCCGGTCCAGGCAAGTCGCTTCCAATTGGTGTCTGGCCTTGAGTTCCCATGATGTTGGGTTGATATCCTGCCGGAACGCCAGGCTTTTCCCCTGCAGCAACGTACTCGGGCTGGCCCTTGTGACTTTTTCGGCCAATGGGGCACATGGTGATGGCAGTGATGACTGTTGCAATCCTATTTCGAAGAAATGGCCGTCAAGTTGCGAGTAAAAGGTGAGGTTTTCGAGGGCCATGTATTTCGGCGCGATGCATGACTTTTATATTCCCCTGCGTTTTGCACATTCGACGACAACGGTAGGTGGCGAGCATGGCTGCGGTGATGTCACGACCGCATACGTAATGTCGTTGCTAAAACCTGATGATAGCTTTTTCTGGATGTGGTGGCGGTACAATGATGTTGATCTGGGCAATGTTGGACAGCAGGCACGAGGTATTTTGGGCAACTTTGTTCGACGATCTGTGGCAACAGCTCAAACATGCTCTCCCACGACGCCTTAGAGGATGATTTATTTGCACACCTTGAAATGAAGCCATGATTGGTTCACCTTTCACGACGCTGAGGGGTGCATATTTGACGCTGCAGTCCATGGCATGAATCATAAAGAGTTCATGGTGGATTCTGGAACTTCACCACCCCGTCACAAGGCGAAAAGGACAACGCCATCCGGCTATTTCCTCGATATGTGGCATCTAGATTTTCCTATAATGGTTAAAATCAGGCCATAACGTCACCGTGCCGTCATTGTTCTGGCAACATGTAAAACGTCGATGGCGCACCTGGTTACGTCATGCTCGTCCTGGCTGTGGCAAAGGGCGTCGAATATAAGACTCGGGCTCGCCAGAGTCTTCTTCCACGCTGAAAAAATAGGAGAGTAAGAAAATACACACTCTAACCTGTATTCATATTGAACGACTTTCTCGAATCGACACAATGACCTGCGACTGCGGATCGACCTGCAACTGCAGTGGCCCTAGTTCCTGTACCTGCGGCCAAGACTGCACCTGTAAAAACTGCGGTGTACGTTATCAAAGAATCTTGGACAAGAAATATGGTCAATCTAACTGTATGAAGAAATAATGAACGTGATCGCGACGGGGTATTGATGAGGAGTGCTTTACAATCGACCCTGCCACCGTCACCGGGCTCTGCGCAAACTAGATTGCAACACAGAGCATTGACTACGGAGTACTCCGTAGGTAGTTTAATAAAAATTCCTATCACAAGGAGATTTCAAACAGAATAAATAAGACTGTGAGACTTTATCTTGGGTTGTTCGCAGGTTCTATGAGGCTGCTCTATATTGGAGGAGCGTCGAAAAGAGAGACCTCGTTTTCTCACTCCGCGGAGAAGCCCTTGCTGTGTGGCCAAACTCTGGAAATACCATTACATCTCTGGAAGGTGCCGCACGCTTAGTTACCCGGGTACCTTCACAGACATGTGAGCTCTCCGAGTCCCCAAATGTCTCGCCATGTCTCAGGCGCCGTTGGCGTTGCGTAGTCGGAAAGCCATCATCCACCTATCGTCATGTTGTGATTCCCTTGACCAATCTCAGCTGCGCCCTCCGGCCACCAAAGCAGAGCAAGCGCACTGTAGTCTGTAGACAAGGCGGGCATACTATTCTCGTCTGGGTTAGCAGTTTGCTGTTGAATATACATAGTACAGACAATACACTTTACCAGCAGCCGCTTTGAGACATGAATGTCTGCGGTATGCATCAGTGCCAATCAACGGCTCGCGATCGGCGGCTTCCCCCGGCGAGCTGAATTCCTGCGGATGCTGGCTGCTTCCATTCCCCCGAGGTCCGCGCCTCTATCTGAAAGGATATGGAGAGCCGGAACACGGAAACAAGGTGCACCATGTCACGCGGCTTTTCATTGGGCTATGTCGACCAAGGCCGTTATCTTGTATCAGTCACGTACTCAGCCCACCAGGATGGCGTCGCTGGCTTGCCCACGATAACTCATGGTCCCTGTTCCGTGCTGATTCGAAGGAGCTGTTCTCGAAGATATTCGCTGGCAAGAACCATTTCCGGACAAAGGCGGCAATGGCGAACTCAAAGGCCGCACGCAGCGTCGAGGGGGTCCATGGGCCGTGGATGCTCTCTGGACGAAGCTCACGTTGCTTTTGGCATCAATGGCCAAGACTCAACAGAGCTCAGCAGAGACATAATTTCTTTTGTCTTCTTTTTCTCACCGAGACCCGGCATCGGCGGACACTGTGCGGGGGGACCATCCGGTTTGGACATGGAAGCAATGAAGCAAAAGCTGGTTGAGTGAAGCGTCGAGACTCGAGTCGTCATGCCTGCCGCAGCCTGCGTGCCCAAGCCCGTGGCCTGCGGCACGACGACTCCCTGCCTCTCTATTGGCTGGCAGGCGTCGGCCACCTCTCCGACGACCTCGACCAACCAGCGTCGAGCCCCGTTGCTCTCCGTTGTTGCTCTTGGCCCTTGGGTTGGCATCGTGACACAAATGGTCGGTGCAATGTGATTGCTTGCTCGAGAATCATATTCCCCAAGCCTGATGGTCTTCATAATCAGCTGAAATCCAGGATAGATTGTCTCATCTTTCAGATCGGCGCTGACACGGCGCCCCCCCCAAAGCCATCCGGACAGCTCCATTGCAGGTGCTCTCGCCAGCCCCGAAGCCCTCGAAGCAACCCCCATCGGAGAATTTCATCCGTTGCTCGAATCACTGTTTCGTCCTGGTGCAGATAGCCATGAGGTCCAGATACCAAAGACTGCTGCCGGGGACGGCCAAGTCCAGCAACGCGGGCGGACGGACGCGAAATACAACCGGGAGTGCATCATCGCTGCCTACCTGTTTCGTAAACCCCATTGCGTGCGAAAGGTGCCGTCGGAAAAAGGCAAAGGTACGTCGTCCTGAACACGAGCTGGTAGTGATATTCGCCAACCGACAACTAATGGACAGTGCGATGGCGAAAGACCAGCCTGCAACCTGTGACGGTACAAGGGCACGA